GCAACTAGCTCGATGCTCATCTTACATTGAAGTTTTAATTTTAGGCAAGATAACAATTGACAACGTCAACTCATTAAGTATCATCAAAATTGTAAAGTTTAATTATTTTTGTAGCAACAACTCATCTGGATATTAGAATTGTAAAGTTTAATTATTTTTGTGTTGGTGTAATATACTAGAAATATAATAAATTATAGTTAAAAATAAAATGAAAAAAATGAATAAAAAAAAATTAGACTGAGGTGTGAATATCTCCTTCACTTTAAGGAGATTCAATTTCAAGCTCACTACGATATAATCTACACCGATCTAGCAGAATGTCTCTTCACTTGTCTCCTCCAGGATATAACAACCCATACAACCCCTTGAGGAAGACAATCTAATATTCAAAAGTTGAAAAAATATTTAATTTTTGAAACAAAAGTTCTAAAGTATAAATAATTTTCACTCTATCAGACATTGAACAAGTCCATACATAAATTACTTTTTGTTATATAGGACAACCAAATGTTGTTGTATAAATTAATGTATATAATATTAGAAAAATCCAAAAAACTAAATGATCCTTATTGATTTTTCTTAGTATTTTTATTTAAAAAGTCAATCAAGTTCACTATTTACTTGTCTTAGTCAGTACATATACTAATATACGATTATACATATATTATACATTCACCGGCTATTTTAGCTTAAGCTTGTTAATTCAAGTTGATTGTGATTTGATATGATCCAATGATAGGCCCAAAGTTCCCAAGAGAAGGGAAATAAGTGTAAGAAGAAAAGCAAATAGTTTCACATATATACTAGGTGGACCTACTTTCTGTTACATTTATTTAGTTCTCAACCCCTTTTTCCAACTCTTCCATCTGCCTCTGCCAGCTTAAATCGCATCGTCCCCCTTCTCCCTCGTGTGTATCGCCCCCTCCCTCCCTTTTCTCCAATTTCGGATTTCCCCCTGCTAAATCTCATCAATTTCACCGTCCAATTCTCTTCTACAAAAACCCTTCAAAGCTCCCAATTTCCCTCATAGCCATATAGACAAATTACAGTCTTTTCTTGAAAATCTGGCAATGGCTTCTTTCAGTGTCCCTTGTCCTAAGATTTCTGTCCTTTCCGTTGCTTCATCATCCAATTTAAGCTCGACCCATCAGCCCCAGAGCTCCCTTTCCTTCAGATCCGGTCCTGCATTGCTCCCTCGTCTTCAGGTTTGTGTTCCCTTTGAGAGGTTAATCGTAAAGATTGAAGCTTTATCATGCATTTGGTTGAGTTTAGTGTGTTTTGTTCTTTAGGGGTCCAGTCGCATCCAATCTCAGGTGCTTAAGGTGAATGCCCAGCTGAATGAGGTGATTTTATGTCTCTTGGATTTTTGTGTGTTAAAATTAATAGACGAGGTTGTTGTAGGATGACAGATAACTAAGACTAGTTTACTATAATGAATCCTTATATGTTCTGATTTATCAGTTAGAGAAAAAGAATGAGATAGATGATTTGTACACTCAACCCCAATTTGATTTGGTATTGAAGCTTACTTAATTGATTGATTTAAGGTTGCTATTGACAAGTCGAACAATTCAAAACCAGTTTCTGAGAAAAGCTTGGAGGAAGTCTCCAAGACTGAATACAGTATTCCAGATGCTTCATCCATTCAAGCATTTATGTCTCAGGCAGCCGATCTTGTGGAGTGCGTTAAGCTCTCATCACCTATAATTTTGTTTGTTTTTTCGTCTTTTTGTAGAGTTCATTTTACAAAGTTTTTGCCTTTTTTGTGCTTAGGCTTGTGGATTCAAGGGACATTGTGGAGCTGCAGCTAAAGCAAAACAATTGTGAAATTCTTATAAGGAAGAAGGCGGCATTGCCCCAGCCGCCTGTTTATATGGCCCCACCATCTGTTCCACAGGCCTTTGTTCAGCAACAGTTGCCTCCTGCAAGTGCCCCTGCTTCTGCAGCTCCTGCGCTTCCACCACCTGCACCTTCAAAGCCTAAATCCTCACATCCTCCAATGAAATGTCCCATGGCTGGAACTTTCTATCGATCACCTGCCCCAGGGGTAGCGCCTTTTGTAAAGGTAAATACATACATTGGTTTCACCTGTGTAGTAGTAGCCATTGAACCTAGAGGGCAGTATTATGATATTTATCTGACACAAAGTGGCCTAAGGAATACCTTGGGTTTAATCGCTCCATAATCCACATTTAGTTAATGAGCAATTAAAAAAAAAGGGGGGAAATGAAGAATGAAACAATTATTAACAATTGTTAAGCAATTAAACTTTCATAGTTGATTTTATAGTTTGGAGATGGAGTAAATTTGTCAGAGCGGGATGAATATTTGCTGTTGTTGCTGACTGTTATTTCCTGTTTTTGCCCTTTCTCTTTCTTTCCTTTATTATCATTTTTTGGGAGGGAAAAGACTGGGAGGTCTATATGAAGATCAATTTTTTCATGTTTTGCACTCTAGCATGTCCCTGAATTCCTTAATATTATGTTAAATTTAGCATTAAATGTTTGGGTTAGTCCAGAAACCAGAGAAATATTTAGTTTAGGGCAAATTCACTTTCACGCTGTTCACATCTTCTAGCAATCAAAGTGAGAATGTTTGCCACTATGTTTTTGCTTGCAGCTTCTCTTTTCTCTTTACCTCTATATGTTCTTGGTCTTGTTGTTTTCTCATGAGCCTGACTAAACTGGTGAATTACCAGGTAGGAGACAAGGTCCAGAAAGGGCAAGTGGTCTGCATCATTGAGGCTATGAAATTGATGAATGAAATTGAGGTAAGTTTTGGATTAAGATTTCAGTTCCAGAAAGGGCAACTGAGTCTATAGTTGCTTGCAATATATAGATTCCTAAATAAAAAGGCGAATATGATAGGGTAGAAACATTTATAATCAGATAATTCCTAGTGCGGAACATGTTTAAGTGTTGTATTTTCAGTTTTCCTTTTCTGTTGCATCCATTCTCATGGTACTTAGAGGACTGTAGGAATGACTTAAATAGGCAAGTGATGTGTCATAAAGAGGAGCTCTTCTGAACATTTCCCATCTTGGCAAAGTTGGTCGCAAAATTATCCGATTTGCTTAGGCCACTCTCGCACCATGATGTATCAGTTTTAAGTTCCTTTTGTACCTACTGCATTTATTTTTTGAATTCTTTATCAGGCTGATCAAGCTGGAACCGTAGTTGACATAGTTGCAGAGGATGGTAAGCCCGTTAGTGTGGACACGGTATGTCTCTCTTTCTCTAGTTTAGATCTTTAGACTAGTTCGGGTCTACTTGTGCTTTATGTGATTTCCAATCTCTTGTTGCAGCCTCTATTTGTCATTGAACCATGATAGAAAGAAGTCATCTTGGTGTGCAACATAGGTGGATGAAGCAGAGTGAGATTCGAAAGTTATAGAGAGCAAATCTGTCTTTAGCACAAGGCATATCTGCTCAGAAGATTGGTTCACCATATTAGACTTGTTGAAATCTATGATCATATTTATAGCTTGTATTCCTCATTTTCCTTATGCTGCTCATAAATTTTGGAACTATATTTTCTTTATAAAGTCGTGACTTGATGATATCCTCTAGTCTATTGTCACCCTGCTATCTTTCATTCTCTGCCTTAAGTACTTGATGCTATGAACCCCCAAGGGTTTGGTTCAGCGTGTAGTTAGGCTCATTCATGAGTTCGAACCCTGCAATGAACAAAGGCTTGATTTTAAGTAGAGAAGTGTAAAGGGATGAGCATATTCTCCGCTGAATTTTGAACTTTGCATCATATTGGCTTTCGGAGGTTTCTCAGTTCTTAAATACCGTGAGCTGAGATATGAGGGTTGCAACATAATTTTACTGGCATTCAGATGTGCAGTTCAAGATCTATGCCTATCAGCTTTGTCAGTATTTGCATATAGGCAATCAAAGATATGCCAGTATAGGGCATCCACGTTTTTACTGATACTTGCTGTATCAGTTAAACCACAAAATGTATTTTGTTTATCTTCACGAAGTAATAAGCAGAGTTTATTAGAACTTTGAGGAGATGCAGCTTTAAGTCTGTCAGTGCATACGCAACTACCTTGATCTGAATCTCTGGAACTCACAGAAGACCAAGGCAAGTCCACTCTCAATTCAGCATAAGCTTGGGATCTTTCTTTCCTAAACCATTTCCCTTGAAGCCAGGTCTTTCTTCTCTTCTTTAAAGCCTGGAGCTGGACTTCTTTTTCCTGACTCGATTCACAATTTAATCCATAGCCCAACCAGGGTGAGAGAGATAGGAGAGTAGGGACGGGGAACCAATGTCACCAACAACACTAGCAGTCTCGGATCTTTGAATAGACAGAGATCGTGGACAAGACACTCAAAAGAAGAAAAGATGACACGAATATGATTAATTGTAAGGTGACCGACAGAAGCAGGTTGTTTTTAAGAGGGAAATGAAATCTATTAACAGAATTTTTGATGGGTAAAGAAGGTAGACCAAAAAGCTGAGTATCTTTTTTCTTTCAAGTTAGAAGGAAAGCACTTTTGGGGGCTGACAGGGCGTATTCACGGAAGTAGTAGGGAACTTGACTGTCAAATTTGAAAAAAGCTGTCACTTTCTTATGTCAAAACAGAGGGATTTATATTTATATAAAATGAAATTGGTACACTCACCTAGATGAATCACCTATTGTTTCTGTTCATAAGGTCGAGGAAGTATCATTTAAATATGAAAACGGGCTCCCCTTACCAAATCCACAATAGGACGTGCAGAGGGAACATGACTGAAATCCAATACACCACTTTTGGCATATCACTTCAGTATCGACAATTAAATGAATGATGGAACAATTATTAGAAGCATACACTATTATAACTTCACAAAACATAATTTTCAGATATGATTTGTGTATGCATATGAAGTATTGCGAAGGAACCGTGAAGAAAACAAGTGTATTACTGACTAATTTGAAGAGTGAATCCGAACCATTACATTTAATTTAGTGGCAAGAGTTAAATATCTAACAGATAACAGAACAATTGGAGGTGAATACTGAAGAGTAGTTAATCTTTAGCTGTTTCCATCATTACAAGACATAAATTGAAATATAGTGGAAGTTGGAAGGATAGAGAAACATGGATTCGCTAGCAGAATGTTATATCACCACAATAATAATTGTCTAGTTTTTGCTAAGAGCAATTAGAACTTAGAACAGAATAGCCCTGTAAAAAGAGCTCAAACTACAAAAAAAACCTATTCTACAACTTCATTTAGCTCAGAATCATCAAAACAGTGCAAATATTTCAGGACGACGTCCACATGTTTGACATTAATGTTCTTATAAATGAGTTTGTGCCTGAAATCCATCAAGTTTTCTTGCCTCCCCGGGGACCAACACCCAAGTAGTTTGTCATGAGACCCATAATACCAAACCTGCGACAATAAAAATAACAAGTTCTGATTAGACACACAATCTAGCATAGGAATGAAAATGTAATAGTAGCTAATAGCAGAACAATCAGTTTGCAATAGGTTCTTTTATGCTTCATGAATACTCTCTTTCCATTTTGTTTGATCTAATAACTCTTTAGCTTGTGGGATTTCACTGGGTATGTTGTTGTTGTTGTTGTAATAACTCTTTAGCTAGTCAAACAAACTATTCTTTGACAACGATTCATTTATCATTTACAATTACAAGACTGATAGAACTGATAATATCTATTTGTTTAGTTTCCAGATCTATAACACTACCTTACTAAACAGTTGGGAATCCAATCTACTTTACTATCTTACATACAGTATAAGTTAGGCTACTAGACATTGGGCACAACCATTCTAGAATCTGGGCATGGAAGCAGAGGGTGTGGCAAGGTGGGTGAAGACGATGCCTTACTACTAAATTGTTTTTGAGACATAAAAAATAACACATGGGCATATTAAGGTTCATAGATACTATTTGGTTGCAGGAGAAGGGAAACGAGTAATGCACAATTAACTTCCTGCAATTTCTGTTATTTGGACAGCAAAAAGGGTAAAAGGGACAACACTCCAGAAAGTACCTCATTACATATTAAGTCCTACAAGAGTTGCAACCACCCACACAAGTGAATACTATCTTTTACTTCACCTTTATGAGACTATATATTCCTTGAACTCCCAAAATTTGTTGACTAGTTGGGCTTGAGTAATTTTGGGGCAGAGTGGAACTGTACGGAGCCACAGTGACAACTCAAACTCATCTTGCCACGTTCAATAGATAATTAGGGTTTCTACCTTTACTTTATTTGTTTTATTTGATATTCTTAAAAAGCTAAATTATCCTTCTTTTTCTTAATGAAGGAAAATGATTCCTCGTTATTGTCTTTTCATCCCATTCCATACAAACCACACATCAAATGAAACATTCTAACGTTTTTTTTTTACATGTATGAGCCAAATCACATGCCAATTTTTTCAGAAGATCAAATGAGATATTCTATTAAAAAGTTCTCCCCTTCTTTTTATCTAACCACTTAATGGCTACTGAATAACTGTGTTGTTGGGTAATTATCATAAAATGAAATTGCATTCCAGAGTTCAACAGCTTAAAATAAGGTTAAAATCCATAGACATACACATAACCATCCACAACTGACATTTTGCAAAATGTAGCTAAATTTACTTCAAATTGATGTCCTGAATGCACAGCAAAGCGCAATTGCATGGAAGGCAAAACATAATTCCAATCCAAGAAAAACTCCACTAACCATTCAAAACAAACCATATTATTGAAGACCATTTCATGATATTTTAAAATTAAAATTACTTCCAGGTTTGATACCTCCTTGTGAATATAAATGCAGGAGCAGCAAATAATCACACTGAAAATTGTATTTAGCAAGTAGTGCAATAATAAGAGCAAGTATCAATTGAAGCAAGTTTGTACTATTCTTAAGAAAATTAGACTCTAATAGTACTTCTGGTGAGTTCCCTTGGATGGTTATTCCTGATAATACCTCACCCCGTTATGCCTTTCAATACATATCAGTATCAGCCAATATTTGTTTATTTCACAATCAGGAACAGGTTCAATCCAAGGAACACAACTCTAGCAAGAGCAGAATCCAAATTTAGGATTTAAATTTCCTTCCACAAACTAGGAGAACATCTCCGAATAATACCTGTAGAGATACATCTAACATACAATAACAACACATATAGCTCTCAATACAATTAATCAAACAGCTGAACTTACATCATGGCCATTGAGATCTGCTTAAGATCATTTTCCATATTCCTCATGTTAGCAAGGGATTGAGCACTGAATATAATAGCAAGCCACGAGCAAATCTTGTACTACAAAACAGATCACCAGAGTAAATGATCCTGAGCATACAATTATATAAATTAACATTCGACAAAAACAAAATCCACCTATGCACATGAAATCTAATCAGTTCAATTACAGATATGAGCAGCGGATCTCGTGTATTGACAGCCTGAAGCTTTGTATGTACCTAACTCCATTCCCCCAAAAAAATTAAATCTAGGATAATCCTTCGTTACAACAACAACATGCCCAGTGAGATCCCACTAGGTGGGGTCTGGGGAGGGTAAATTGTACGCAGACCTTACCACTACCTCGTGGAGGTAGAGAGGCTGTTTCCGGGAGACCCTCAGCTCAAGAACAACAAATCTAGGATAATCCTTCGTTCTGGATGGGAATTAAGAGCGCGTTTTCCAATCTAATTTTATAGATACAATCCTAAATATAACCAAATTAGGAAAAAAATATCGAGTATAGGTACAAAATATACAGAATTTAGAAGGGTACGCACTCTGAACATGGCACCAAAGACGCCGCAGATGACGGCTATGAAGCCGGAGTAATCTATAGGAAGATCTTGTGGAGCGACCGGCGAAGGCTTGTACGGCTTTGCCGTCGACGGTTGCCGTGGATCGTTCGCTGGTGACGACATGCCCGCTGTAGTTTCTGCTCCGAAAATGATTTTGGATCCGAACCAGAAAAAGCCTAAGAAATAGTAAGTGGTAATTTCTGAATGAACCCCTTGAATATGTAAATATTGCACATGCCCCAAAAGGCTTGAATGTCATAATTTTCTTGTGTTAAAATATTCGGAAAAGGGCCAAAACTAGCCTTAAACTATAGGAAAAAGTCTAAAAATATCATTCATCCATCTTTTGATCTAAGGAAAAGATTTAAAAATATCTTCCATCCATTTTTTAGTCTAAAAATACCCTTTCATTCACTCTTTTGGCTCACTATAACCCTTTCATTCACTTTTTTGACTAACTTATACTTTTATAACTAACAACCAAAGTTTATTTTAAAAAAATAAAAATAAATTATTATTTGTCATTTTCTTATTAGATAAAATAAAAAAATTCATCTCTATTGATTTTTTCCCCATAATCTATTTAAATCAAAAATATATATACCTCTTCAAGACCCCAATTTTTTTTATAAAAAAAATCTAGTAATTTTTGTATTTTCTCTAATTTCTTTTCTTAAAAAAAAGTTTGTTTTAAATAATTAGTATATTATAGAAATATTAATAGTGCCACAATATCTATCTTCCTTTTTAAAAATAAATAAATAGAAAAACTGTTAACTTAATTTTTTTGCTAATCTGTGATAACTACTTTTCAAAGAAAACGTTCCACAAACAATTTTACTTAAAAGATTAACTCATTAAAAAAATGAAAAAAAAGCAGATGGATGGTCGTAGCCATAGGGAAAATTTAAGTAGGAAAATAGAGAAAAATATGTGTAATGTATATGTGGATAAAATAATATATTGTTATGATTAAGACATGATAAATTTGTTTATAAAATATTAATCATCTATATCATGTTTAGAATTTTGATTTAAGTAATTAAATATTAGCCGTTAATTTTTTCTTATGTCATGAGTTTTCAATCAAAGTAAAAATATAAGAAAATAGAGAGAAGTTGGATCCAAAAAAAAATAAATAATAAAAAACTACAACATTTTTTTATAAAAAAAAATTTGGGTTTTGAAGAAGTATATTGCTTTGGTCCGGATAAATAATGAGAAATAATCTAATTGAGGTGGGCTCTTTGTATTATCCAATAGGAGAATGACACATAATAAATATTTTTTAAAAATAAAGAATAAAGAGAGAATTGTTAGTTTTTTTTTTTTTAAGCAAGAGAATTGTTAGTTTCAAGGGTATAAGTGAGTCAAAAAGATGGATGAAAGGATATTTTTAGATCAAAAGATGGATGAAGGGTATTTTTAGACTTTTTCCTATAGTTCAAGGATATTTTTGACCATTTTCCGTAAAATATTTACCAACATTTTTAAAGCATCTTTCTCAAATGATAAATCATACTTTTAAGTTCACTATTTTTATGACTAATTCTTTTCTACCATGGGTATACCATGTGGTATCAACATGTCTGTTTTTAATAATTTTATTTACTTATCAAGGGCATTTTGATCATATCAGTTTATAGCCTTTCTTCCATCTTACTCCACGTGGTCATACAATCATTGATTTATTGCGTGCGACATCCATGCATGTTTTGACCTAGCTCCCATCTATCTATTGAAGAAAAGAAAAGATAGAAGCTTTTGACCTCCACGACTTTCGATCTTCCGTATTCCCGTAATACTTCTTCAATTTTCAGGTAATTTTTCATGTCCCCTTAATTTTTAGCTTCAATTTCTTCTTAATAAAACTAACCCTCCTATTTTCTTGTGATTAAAATTATTTTTACAAAATGGTTGCAAATAAATTACAATTATGAAAAAAAAAATTATTAATCAATACTTGTGTATGATTTGTTCCTCTTAATTCTCCCCTCTAAAGGACTTTGTCAAAAGAAATATTTGATATTTTGATCTATTTATGAATCAATATCCCAAAATTTATGAGATATTATCTATTTAAGAGAATGTTATTACCCTTATTAATAAGTGAATAAGGATAGGACCAACACAACAAGTATTTATTGTACCGAGAGTAATGTGAGTAGTACCTTATATTTGGGCTCATTTTATTTGACAAGGTGTCTTTGTCCTATATCTGCTAATTACACGTTTATTATTCTTTCTATGTAAGGTAAACACGTGTAATATTTTACATCTTATTTTGCGTTCTCTGAGATTGCCTCCTCTAAGCAGCAGAAGCAAAATGGTCATTCTTCCCTTTTTGCTTCTATTTTAGGACCGAGACTTCTTCCCGATTCCTCAACTTTGTTTACTCTTATCTTTGTTCTTTGTTCTTGCAGTGGATGTTTATGGGTGGTGAATGAGATTTTGAAGTGAAGTTTTGGCTTAGCATTTATGCCGTTGAATCCACGACTTATGATTTTATTTATTTATTTATTCACCTGTAAGCATTTCAATTCGAGTTTTGTTCTTTGATGATGTAATATCGATATAAAATATTCTAATCACTATGACGATGTGCACATTGATTCAGCAGAAGTGTTTGATGATATGCCTGGTCAACTAAAAATTACTGTATTTTTTTTTTCACAAATTTTCTTTGAGATTTTGATCTACAAGCAAGGTACGATATTTACAAGCTAAGGTACATTGTTTACATTTACTGAACCATATTTGTGATCAATAAATATGTAGTATTATCATTATGATTTCCTATTGCCTTTATTTTTTTGGATCCCCTAGAGAATATGAAATCAAATGTTGTAACACTTGTTCTTTGGATGGTTTTGGTGTACTAAGATTCGCATTGAACGTTACTAATAATGTATGATTGTTCGAGGTTCTTGAGAATTAATTCAATAGTTAACGAAAATTTACATAAGGCACAAATAAGGACTTAGGATATATAGATTCTTCTCGAGTGTAATAGTGACATGTTGTAATTCAATGTTGACTGATGAAAACCATATACAATCAGGTTCACAGTTTTTTGCTTAAGACAACTCCTTGACATTGTCAATGGGGTTCTTGAGAATTAATTCAATAGCTATCATACATGTTTTGTGAAATTCAATGAGGTCATTTGTTTGCTTAACTAGGACCAACTATGGTCTATGCACAAAGATGGAGTTACAAGTTTGACTAACATAATGAAGTCATATTTCTGAATTCACAGTGTAGGACTAGAGCAACTAAATGCAGGGTCGATAAAAATGACAATTGTGCCTCAATCTCAAGCAAGTTAGAGTCAACTATACAAATCCTCACTTTCCATGTCGTCCATCAAAGTCTTGAAAGAAAATTTTTCAAAGTATCAGCTACCAACAAGTACAAGTGTAGCTAAATGTAGGATTACCTAAAAGAAAATCAGATATTCTTACTTGCACCCCTTGATTAGGGACGACCAGACTACGTAAATTAGTGTAATTAGTGAAAATGTTGAACATGACCCATAGCAATCTCAGAATCTCTTGCACCACCCATTGACCTTTGATTGATGTTAGCAGATCCAATTATAATGTATGCGTCATCAATTTCAAGAAAGAACAAAAGACACAAACATTAGTTTGATCAAAATGATAAATAGAGATAAAATTGGTACTCCCTCCGTTTCTATTTGTTTATCTGGTTTCTGATTTGACACAGAGTTTAAGAAAGTAAACAAGACTTGAATCTTGTGGTCTTAAGCACTAAAGAAGTGTAGAATGTACCACTTAACATGTCGTGGAAAGTTAGAATTGAAGAGTTATTAGAAAAGGAAAAGACATTCTTTGTGAAACGGATTAAAAGGGGAAGTAAGACAAAAAAAAATTGAAATTGTTTACTCACCGATCATCATTTTTGAATGAACGTAAATCATAAAGAGCCTGTATTCTTGAGCTCTTGCATAATTAGTATTAGGAACTGGTTTCTAAGGAGGTTTGTATTCTCCAAGCTTTTTGACTTCGCGGTTTCCAAGACAGAAGAATGTCAAGTACTCTCTAGGATCAGCAATAGTATTTCCCTTGGCATTAATGGCATTGTATATGTCTGTGTACATCATTTCCATTGTCCTTTTTTTATCAGTCTAGAATTGCCTGAACAGAATCACTTTATGGTATACCTTTTGGCCACATCGGAAGAACAATGTAGACCGTAAATCTTTCCTCTGCTTGAATCTTGCTCACAATCTTGAGTGAGATCACCTTTGGGATAAAGATGCAAAGCTCCGATGTCCTCGAGCTTGATATCATTTGCAGGCTTTCAACCATAGCAACTTCCAATAAAGTATTGGTTTTCAATGTAAATGAAATTTTTAGCTCGACGAATGGCACTAATATATGCATCGTGGATACTTTGATCAATGACAACATTTTTTCCAGTAACAAAGCCTACCTCAAAAGCTTCTTCGGGGTTTACAGGGAAGTCAGTAACAGCACTACCATCAATAGACCGAAATATTTGAACATTACAGGTTTCTCTATCCCTTGATGTTGTAACTTCCATTGGACGAATAATAAACTTATCAACCTCATTCATTGAGTAGATAAATTTATTTCCAATCTGCTTTCTCCACCTTTGCTCAAAATTATACAAGGCATCCCACACAACGGGCCCTTCTAGCCTACAATGAATGTCATGCCAAGGCTCTCTTGGACCACCTTTCGCGATTGAAGAGCCTGGAAAGCTAGGCTGATAGAAATTTTGCTTATGTACTGTGTCCAATGTCCTGAATAATGAGTGGTCTTGAGTATTATATCGACAATCACAAAGATCAATACCACCAAGACATACTATCATCCTTTTATGTGACATTCCTCCTGGAATTTCAGTGTCTACAACGATCATCTTTTGATGATGAGTAAACATTGTACCAACTTGAAACCCCTGAATCTTTTTTTTTTAACTTTCTTGATCATGAGTTGACATTGGTCCATCTCTTTTTACTACCTCATCTGAAGTTATATTATCCCAAACTAGCAATAGAACGTTAACTCATTCACTTGCTTTCTCTTTCAGGAGCTCCTCGAGAGTAAGTTCTCCGCCTACCTTTGGCCTTTTTGGATTTCTTATCAAGGTAATTTTTGTATACACTGACCAGACGGATATATAAATCATATGCTTTGCATTGTTGATTGCATAAAAAATGTCTTCCCAACATCTCTGATGTTCGAAAAGTCCTTATGACTTGATATAATTTCTAATATCGTCTGAAATGTCTGCATCGGAGTTAAGTGTAACTTGACACCCCTGTCTCTCCTTGAAAAACGTGTACGGGACTCCTCCAAATGTAGGGGAGGTAATGCCTCTAGACCAATTACTGCCTTGCTTTACGCATTACTGTCTTCTAACTCTTGAACTAACTTCTTGGGCCATTTTAATTTGTCATTCACCTTTTCTCTCTTTCTTCTATTTGCTGCAATAACTCACTATAGGCTTTTCCATGGAACTTGCTTAAACCATGGCTATTATTTGGTTATGCACTTCATTTGATCTGTTCCTTAGAACTTTTGACAGGAAATATTTCATTTTCTCCATGTTTCCTTCCTCCCTTTTGTGTTTTCTTTATTTGGTTTTTGAGTACATAGTTCTGTTTCTTTGATTTCTATTGCCACTAAAGCTCCTTTCATTTCTCTTATGTGATTGAAATTGATATTTGTGATAGTACTTTGCATGAGCCATTGTCTATCATTTCTATTTTTTTCCCAATTAACTACCACTACGTACTCTGCTATATGTTAAACTAATAAATGTTGAATCAAAATGAGTGATATTTTAATTGAAAAAATCTTTTTTTTATTCAAGGAACTAAAGAAGATCATATATTTCATGTTTTACAAAATTTGGCAGCTACATATTCTCCTCTGCTGCTGACTTTCCTTTATCAGGTATTTTTGAAATGTCAATACTTATTTACTTGTGAGAAGTTTAGGCCCAAACTTAGATTATCTTGTACTACAAATTTAATAAGACGTACTCTAAATCTAGCCCAGTATGAAAAGAAAAAATTGCTTCTAACCTATTTGGTGTTCAATACAGATTACTTCGCTTGAATGATGTATATATATAATATTTTTTACTATTTTATTCTTTCTAAATTTATGTACGACCAGACAATTCTAACATGGTTGTCTCTTGGTTGGAGCAAGACAACCAACTAGATGCAAGAAGACTGGCAACAAAGTATTCTCAGTTGCTATTAGCAACGAAAGTTAGCTTAAGAAGAAAAGACATTTACTCTAGTAGTGGATATGACTGAGTGAATAATTCAGAGCAATGTAGTAGAGTTGTGCTCTTTCTACTTGCATCTTTACTGTGTTGTTTATTGTCAATTTGATAGAATTTTATTCCATGTAAATTAGTTCAATCACAACTTTCACTATCATGTACCTAAGCTCATTCTAAGTGATTAAACATAAAGTAAGGGTTTACGAACATTGAAATCTTTCAAAATTATATTTAAAAAATAGCATCAAAATCAAGTATGTCGGACCCGTGCATGGCCGATCTAGTCCTTTTATATAAGCATGAATTAAAATTTAAGACAAACTATCCTTTAAAAATTAATATAAATTGAGCTCAATCTCATAAAATGGCATTGACTCACAAGTGAGGGGTACCTTTGGGCTTTGACGATCAATTTGATGTTGTAACAACTATAATTACATTTCGACTAAACAAGGGATGTAAGTATTAACTTTCTAAACCTTAGGGACTAAATCGACCACTATTACACTTTACGCAAGTTTACTCGTCATTGTTCTTTTTGCTTCTTTTCTTCCAGCTACTAGCCATCAGTAGTACTATTTGTTGGGAAAGACCAGGCACTACCAAAAATGTCAGATAGGATAGCAGCGGAATAATACCCAAATCTAAACTTTCCCTTTCAATTTGAACCAAGAGAAGACAAACCAATCAAGTAATATGAAGAATGGACATCAAGTATATCAACCAAACTAAAGCAACAAGATAAGAATAAACCAATCACGCAAGACACAACAATTTACGTGGAAAACCCTTCGATGTGAAGAGTAAAAAACCACAAGACCAAAAGCTCCACTATAAACACCAAGAGTTACAAAATTGTTCTCCAAAATTGGCCACAAAACAAGCGCCAAACAACGAGCAACAACAAATCAAGATTGCACCAAAACTAGAGAATTAAAAAAGAGATTTCACCCAAAAAGGCGCTACTGTTCACGCCCTCAAATCAGAATCTACAGACCTTCAAATCCGATCTCCACCGTTGAATTGCAAGAACCAGATGCTGAGAACTCCCAGTTCAAATTTGAGCACGATCCAACGGTTAACGAAGTGGCAAACTCTGTTTGAAGCGGACTGCCTGAGCAGAAAATTTTCAGAAGCAAAAACGGGATTTTCTCTTTTTCTTTCAATCTCTAAAACGAATCTCTCTTGATTTTTCTCTCTTGTGTTTCTGAAAATAAGACCAAATAAGCCTTATATGCCACATAATATTTGGGTTATGAGCTAAAGTAGACCGGTCCTAATAAGATATTTATTTATCCAGGGGAAAAAAATCCTAAACCCAACACTATTTCGGTCACAACTATGGAGTCCAAAGTCCTCCCAATTGCTCCGGCGCCGTTACCGACACTTTCTGCCTTTCCGACTACCTCCGATGAAGCCACGGAATGGAATATTCAAAGTCCGGTTGCAAAGTCGCCGGCGCCACCAACAACGCCATCGACGCCGTCATCCTTTCAAGATATACGGCGATGGAGACCGGCGGCGCAACGAAACCTGAGAAACCAGTGGTCGAAGTTGTCTTCTCTTCGGACGCAATGGCTTTCTTTATCCTCCACTGCTCGATCATACGCCACTTATGTAGTAAATTCTTATCTCTCCCAAAGGTAAACTTCAAACAGCCGTTTAAGTTTCGTTACATAAAAAAAATACAAACTCCCTCCATTTCAATTTGTTTGTCTTGTTTTCCTTTATAGTCGGTTTCGAAAAGATTGCAGCTTTCCGCCAACTCTTTAAGACCACAAGATTAAAAGCATTTGATACATTCTGCATTATCTTTAGTTCAATATTGTAAAATTCAAAAAGTTTTTTTTCCAATAAACAAATTGAAAAGGAAGTAGTATGAATCACAATAGTTATAGTTTAAACATCTCTAAAATATTTGAAAATTTTGATGAAAAAAAAAAGCTGTCTGACTTTCCAAATAGTAGCATCCATGTTTTAGCGTGAAATAGTATTTAGTATTGAAGAGAATATGTGAATTTGTGTTGTTGTCAATGTGGTTTCTTTTATGAAAATTGACCTTGGGCCTTACTCAACTGACTACACAACTCATACCCTCAACTAGTGTAGGACTTTCAACAGTTTCTAATGTTGAATTATCTGTGATTCGGAATGACCTCCGTTGGAGTTTGGTGCAGGTATATGGATGCAATGGAGTTAGGTGTATTGACAGAGATGCCTGATATACGTAAAAAAGCATGTAGGAAATTGTTCAAGCAGCAGGTGATTATAGTAATTGTCTTTTTATCCTTTTGTCTTTTTGGATTCAATTTGAATTGTCCCAGAAGTTGGCTATTGCACACTCTATAAAGTTGATTGACAAAATATACAACAAAACCACTTATTGTGGAGTGAGACAGATCTTCATTGCCTGATGCTTTATCTTTACTTGATGCCCCTCGGTGTATCCTCCTAATGATGTAGGGAACCTATTGAATTTGAACGTACCGACAATAAATCAGCACCTTTCAACCAAAAAGAATTTCTTAATGGTTTTTGTTGCTGAATTAATGTTGTTTGGTTGCTTGTTAAGTATAATTGGTCATGTTGGAAATATTTTCTCATTGCACCTCAGAGGTTTTCCCCATTATTTAATTGGTCAAATATGCTGGAAAAGAGTGTAAAAGTAGAATGGAAAACCCATCTCTGTTTAATGACGAAATCAAACTGTACTCTGAACAATTTCTCACAGTTGTCTTCATTTTTCAGGAGACTAATAGGAGTAAGCTCTTGTCATCTTACAAAGATATGGTATGCACACTACATCTTTGCACATTCACTTCATAAATGTATCTGTGATTAGCTTGCTACTTTGACTAACTTGGTAACATTTTTTTGTCAAATAAATGAATTTTCTACTGTGGTTTTCTTTTCTGCTTCTCAGAACCGGAATATCATTTTTGTTATTAAAACATCTAAACGTGTCTGTATATCCCTCCGTCATGCTTAGTATCTTCTTTAATTGTTCAGGCTTCTCGAAATGTTCTATAACTGTGTTACTTTAAAATGCTCCCTATTTCGTTCAACCCTTTCCTATGTTCAGAAGGGAAACATCCCTAAATAAAAAATAGAGGAGTAAATAGATATGTATGGCTTGTCAACAGTTTGAATGACTAATTTTGATCAGGACAATTTGAATGGCTAATTAAGCACACTGTTACTTTCATAATCCCCAAGTATCTGGAAGGCCAGTGGTTGTGTTAAGTATTTCTAGGTGAAGAACATCTCTATTTTTGTTTAGTTCATACTCTGGCACAAGTTCCTTTCATGCTATTTGTAGTAAAACAACAAACAGATATGTTGGAGTTTTTATCTGCATTTGTCTTCCATGCTTAACTGGTCTTGTTTGACATACTGAATTGCATTTATCTCATACTTGATCATCCAACATCCTTGAGCTCACACTCTTATAACCTATGGTTGTATGACTATCTATCGCTTAATGTTATTTTCCAATAAAACACTATTTTACTAATTTGACAAAATTATAGAAGTGAACTTTTTGCTGGTTCAAAAAGCTTTAGCTCATAAGGGAAACTATTTACTGTCTAATAGTACATATATTGCTAGGTGTTAGTGTAAAGTTAAAGTGGCAAAAGGTTTGGTTGCTTGGAAAGTTGGGTTAAAAGTACTTTTAGTCTAGGGTGCAAAAATCAAGAGTGAATCAGGAGATACATAGGTCTTAGTTGTTTGCATGATGTCATTTACTCATTGACAAAAACCAATCCGCAAGTGATTTATTTATCTCCTAGACTTGGTTCTTGATTTCTGCTTCTAGCAGCTCTCGTTTAGGCATGGATCTTATTCCGCCCCATGTCTGTATTGAAGCTATGACCTTTTAGCAGACTGGGATACTGGATGCGACATTTTTACCTTCTTGATTCAAGTGCCTTCAACAGAATTACCATGACTTTTTAGCTGTCTACAGGTGGTTGTTGTAACTCAGATGGTCAATGTTTCTAAATCAATGAGGTGTTATCTCAAAGGAGCAAGTGGCACCCCACTTACTGAGTTTTCTTGCTTCCCTGGAAACCTGAATGACACTGGTGATTGTGATGGGATTCCTGTTTTCACCTTTTTGTCGATCTTTGATTTCGGTATGCATTTTATTTGCAAGTTGCTGACTGTCTCACTAATGGGAATTCCTGCAGAGATTTATTAATGTTTTTTTAAAAGGTTATCATATGCTAATTCGTAGTGTGAGTTAATCAATGACTATCCCTTAAATTCATTATATACTTAGTTAGTAGTACAAGGTCATCTCAGAGTCCAGTGTACCATTACTTATTAAATGAAAGAAGATTGTGCGCTGGGACAAGAGAGGATTGGTCAAGTGGAAAGCACCCTCCGCTCCAATATTTCAACAATTCAAGTCACCAAGAGAGCAAAGTAGGGAAGGATCACTGTTACTCCTGGGAGGTTGTCATCCCCCCCCCCAAAAAAAAAAAAAAAAAAAGGGGGATCCAGTGTTGGTTGTACATCTTTCTGCAACATACATGTGCTATTCCATCTAAGAACTCCCTACAACTTTGAACTAATGCCACAGAGATGCCTAGCTTTTATAGGATGATTAACGGAGGATTGGCTGGATGCCTTATGGATATTGTTTAGAGAAAAATATTATGGAGTTAATGATAGAGTAACACTGATTTCATTAGACGATGCCACAATTAATTTTAATTGTATAACCCTATTTGACCAAGGGAAGAAGTGGAATTTAGTGACTGCATAACAGTAGCTTGCTCACCAGTCAACCCGTCCGTTCCATACTTGCATCACTAGGCTTCAGCATTAGTTAGATTATCAATCTAACTTGAATCAAACTAAAAGGATTATTACAGTTTGCTACAACATAGGTAATCATATAAAACCTACTTAACAAAAAAAAGTCATATAAACCTTAGCAAGGCTGGTTGTCCTCAGTCGTTCCTTATCAAGGGAGTCAATGTGGTATAAGATGTTAGAGGTAAAGTTTTAAGTCTAAATGGTCAGGACATTTGGTCATCTTCTTTTCCTGGACTAGGGTTTTGAACATGCTAGTCTCTTCTGCCGGACCAGAGGACATTTGGCAGTCACCCTTACCCTTAATCTCTTTGGTTAACTAAATAATTAGTGCTTCATGGGTAGCAAATCTTACGGATAAACTTGAACTATCAAGAATGGAGACACGATTTATGTCCCATTAAACAATCACCAAAAGGAGTTCAGCATTGGCTTCCTGTTGTTCTTATACAGAGTAATTAACTTTTCTTTTTATCTATATATCTGCTTCATATTTAAAAATTATAATTTTCCTCTCTAATGACTTCAGAGAAACTGGCAGAGGAGCTGGTCCAGATGTTTGTGTCAGAAACAAATCTAAAGGTATTTTTCTCATCTTCTCAGCCACAGTGAGGCATTTCACTTTATTCGTAAAATCTTCTATCTATTTGTATTTCCTTCTTAAAAGTTGAGTGATGTGCAGCGGTTGCTAGTGATGGAAATATGCTCCATTGGTTCTGAGAATTTTTCACAAGTTGACAGGCTGAAATGGAGTGATCATTTCTATGTTGGAGAGTTTGATGATCTACGCATATGTGATTCAAACTCAAATGAGGTTCTTAAGCAACTTGTGCCCAAGGTAGAGAGCTGCAATTCTCAGTCTACCACCACGCAATCAAGTAGTCAACTAGAGAGGAACGTTCTCCAGGTATTGTGTCACCTGTTGTATATGAAGTTATATGTTTAGAAATAAATTTGTGTGCCTACTCCTATATATGTATCTATAGCTGTTAGAATTATTAGCACACTGAGTCACATCCTAAGTGCTTCAAAAGACCCTAGTTGATTGTAAGATATATCAGTTTTACTTTGGGAAAAGCCCCTCAACCAGCACATTGAGTAGCATATCTTAATTATAATTGTGCCTGGACTAACTGTAGTGCTATTTTTAGCACTCTTATCTTGTACGGATGCATAAGATATAAATAACATTAGGTCCTTTTTAACCCAAAAAAAGAAGCAGCATATCATAATTTCTCTAGTGGTACCAACAATAAATATGTATATCCCATATAATTTCTAAAGGTCTTACTTCTAATACATAAAGTTCCTTTCGTTTACATACTCTTCCTTTGTATCCATCTTCTTGAGCTTTCAGCGTTTGCTAGTAAAAAAAGCTTTTGGCTTGAGCATAGAGGCCTTTTTTGGCATCAAATTTCTCTTGAATCTGTGTGAGGTAGCAATATTGGTTCACTGGAAATATTATTTCTCTGCAACTTACTTTTTTCCTTTTAAGTTCAAGACATGCTTTCCTGTCTCTCCTATGTTGTTTGCTCATTAAATCATGTTTTGTTTTTCAAGTTCATGACAATGAACCATGTTTTGTTGTCAAGGTAATATTTTTATAATAGTGGAGTGCAACATGTAAACATGATTTATCTTAAGGTGAAAAGGTCTTTTACGGCTAGATCTCTAGGAAGAGTCATGGTTAAAGCTTAAGATATTCTCCTAGTAAATATTACACACGAGGTTCCTGTTAGTATTATTAAATTGGTTTCGGTTGTAGAGAACTATATTTTTGTGTTAAGACTCTACTTTCTGTGTACTACTTGTAACATGGGCTTCCACTAGATACAAGTAAATTACTTCTATATGAAAAAAAGTCTTCAAAGAAATGAGCCCCGGGGACTTTTGTTAGTGGTAAGAGCACAACACGTGATGTGTGGATTAGAGGCATGTCATGGGTCCGAAATCTGCTGTAGTCAAAAGCATGGTATTTACGTGAAGAAGGATAAAGAGGTGGACCATTATCTACCAAGTTTCGAATCGTGCACCACTGAACCCCGATTTCTTTGTTTAAAAAAACAAGAGTTCTTCAAGGAAATGATGAAAAAACATATGTGAGACGTTGAAGCTGGTCAACAAAGATATTTAGAAATGCCATTGTTTATGATCATATTAGAAAGATCTATCATTATCTTATTGATGGAAAAATTACAAACCTTCTAGTGGTGTTTCCACATCCTTTTATTTCTGTACTAATTGAATATGTGATTTGTAGGTTTACTTAACAACCTGGCTCGCAGAAGTCAATGTCGATAGATTCAGGTAAATTGATTCTGTGGGACTTCTGAGTTTTTTCAATCCTTGATACTTAAGCTACTTCTGCATTTCTTGGCTTCTATTAATATTGGAGTTAACAAGTCATATAATGTATTGCTTCCCCTCGAATGAGAATTTTACTATCATTTTGTAACAGTAGTTTTTCCTTGACAGGATAAGTGAATTACTTGCTATGGTAAGTGAGGAGATGCATGTTACCATATCATGAAACCTCAACTACACAGATAGGTAAACAATGGTGAACAAACGCTTACAATTCCCTAATGTTGCATAACTCCAAGATTGAAACTTGAAGAGGCATTGGACTCTGACATTCTTTGGGCTCAACCATATGCCTAAAGAGGCATTGAGTTGATCTTCAAGCTTCTAAGATTTTTATCTTCAAACTTCTTCAAAACAATGCTGATGTATCTATTGGACCTGAACAGGGCAGAATGGATACAAAGGATTCACATGAATGATCCCAACTAAATTGAGGTTGAGGTGTATAAAAACTGACTTAAATTGGGATTTAGATGGTGAAGTTGTCCAGGAGGAACTATCCAACTTACAAACAAGACTACTGCTGTTTTCCAGGCAATACCGCAATAATGGTTGCTAAATGCCGTCTTTGTTTGTCAAAGCAACCAGCGGATGAAGTGCCACATCAGTACATTTAGTAATATGAAAGTGAAGAGGCTTGGCACTAGCAAGAACCGCTATGACTGGCTGTTCTCTAACTTCGTTTCTCTTTCTTTTTTCTTTTCTTTTGGGATGGGAGTAGAGATGCTATATACATAAATCTGTTTTCCCATAATTTTACCATTTGCATCAGAAGAAGATTAATTTCACAAAGCGTTTTGCTTTGCAAGTGTAATACTCTTTTGAAGATGGATCTCATGAAACACAGTCTTCCACTGGGCTAAAATAATTTATAGAAAGTCATTGAAGAATGAAGATAAAGTCAATAGAATCAACATCAGAAGTATTGGAAACAGTAGATTATGGAACTGCTAGCAGTAGGGATGGCAATGGGGCGGTGCGGGTTGAGCTTAATTCGCAAAATTTTTAGTCCGCCCCTCCCCGCATAACAACTATTTTCATTTTCAACCCGCCCCGCATAGACCCGCCCCGAATAATTTTTTTAATATTTACTTTTTCTAGTTATGTTTGATACTAAAAAAAAAATCATAAAAAGAAATTCATTTTTTCATTAAGTTGTATTAATTTAATAGGATAATGACTTAAAATTTTATTTTTTAGAGGTCAATTGGGAAACATGTAAGAAATTGTATTATTTTTTATTGAACCATTTTCATTTATTATCTTGAATATTTTAGTGCTTTAATGAAATTATCTTAATAATAATGCTCTATCACTCTTATAACATGTCAAAAGTTAAAATTAAATTTAAATCCACATTAGTAGAAAGTCGAGTGGAACTGCTCAAGTCCAGATATGACTTCCATATAGGGGTGTCAAAAATGAATCCAAACATAGGTAACCCGCCCAATCCGCACAGAATTTTAAGGGTTGCGCTCAAGATAATTTGAATTGGGTTCAATCTCAACCCATTCAAGCCTAACCCATTTTAAGAGAATCTTCAATTGAGATCAATTCAATCTCCAATTTCAACCCGTTATAAAACTCTTTACTAAGATATGTTTCTATATTAAAGGTATGAATTATTATATATTTAACATCTGTTAGGATTTATCTATCCATTTGTTACTTTTTTAAAAAAAATCTTGAGCTGAAATTCAAATTGTGATTATAAAAGTTAAATATCACTATGTTAAAATTATTGAGATTAATCGGGTCAAATTGGGCGGGTCAAGACCCAACCCTTTTCTATTTCAACCCATTTTAATATCTCCAATTCAACCCAACCCGCCCATTTGACACCCCTACTTCCATCTATAACAACAAACAAAAAATATGTACAGAAAGTTGCATGTTTCTAAATTCATACATAAAGATCTTTACTTTGACTTATTACGGTTATTTTGTTCTTTTTCAAACGCTTGGAGTTTGACAAATGTCCCAGTACCTTTTATGATACAAGAGCAATAATTTCAAGAACTTGAATAATGTAACAAACAGATGGAGGAATTTGAGTGACAGATACAACGAGATTGAGCAAATAGGTACAACAAATTACTGCTCCAAAGCAATCACTATGAATTGTAACTAGGCAAATTATAGCTACTAATGACAAGGAGGGTATAGGATTGACAGTCAATTTTCCGAGATAGAGCAAATAGGTACAACATATTACAACTCTAAAGCAGTTGCTATGAATCGTTTCTAGGCAAATTATAGCTACTAATGACAAGGAGGGGTATAGGATTGACAGTCAATTTTCCGAGATAGAGCAAATAGGTACAACATATTACAACTCTAAAGCAGTTGCTATGAATCGTTTCTAGGCAAATTATAGCTACTAATGACAAGGAGGGGTATAGGATTGACAGTCAATTTTCCGAGATAGAGCAAATAGGTACAACATATTACAACTCTAAAGCAGTTGCTATGAATCGTTTCTAGGCAAATTATAGCTACTAATGACAAGGAGGGGTATAGGATTGACAGTCAATTTTCCGAGATAGAGCAAATAGGTACACCATATTACAGCTCGAAAGTAATCACTGCAAATTATAGCTACTAATGACAAGGAGAGGGTGGAGGATTAACAGTCAATTTTCCGAGATAGAGCCATTAGGTACAACATATTACAACTCAAAAGCAGTCACTATGAATCGTAATTAGGCAAACTATAGCTACTAATAACAAGGAGGGAGTGTAGGATTAACAGTCAATTTTCATTTCGAGATTGAATATCAAGGAAATGCCTTATGGTGATTCTGGCTGGCCTGCATTTGCTTTGTTCTCTCTTTCATCCTCTCTAAATTATGGGTGTTTACATAGACAGATTTCCTAGGGGTGTACATTGTTGATTCTGGATTGTATCTCGAAATTATAGTTAGGTTGTATATGGAATGGTTCTGAGATGTATTAGGAATCTAGCGATTTTCGAAGTTGTAACTAGATTGTATCCTTGCATATATACTCACAAAATTTGAAAATAAACTGATATAGAGCGACTTCCCCTAAAATGAGAATATCCAGCAAAATTCAGCAAGTGTTAATACAACTAAATTTGAGCAAACAAATACTAGGTAAACGATAGCTACTAAATGATAATTATGATCCAAACTATAGTTATTTATGAACTTTCCTCTTTTATAGATGAACTCTTCTACATCTACTGCTTTTGAAAAACAAATTATTTTGTCAAATAATCCGTATTACCATTGCTTTACCTCGTCTATGGGTTCTTTAACCCAACATAAAACGCATGCAAGTTTTTTTAAAAAAATATTCATAGCCTTCGTACATTCTTTGGCATCCACTATGACAATTGGCAAAGTTGGGGAAACCTATTCATTCATCCTTGGTTTATAGAAACTAAACATATTTGGTTCGCTCTATTCCTTCATCTCCCTATAAATCGTATGTTTGTAACTTCTGCTCATAGCATAGCCTAGGGATGTAATCTTACTTCTTGAAGGAAGCTACTTTAACTGCGAAAGGAGCAGGGCAACTCAAGTTAGACGAGAGGCAGGGTTGTAGTTTCAAAGAGGCTCGACCAGCCACATACCAAAACAAGTTGTAAAAAATCTGCACAGCAGTTGCACATTAAGAACCATACAAGGGAAATTATGAAATATGATGCTGCTTAAAAACACCTTTTTCAACTAAATTATGTTCTGAACAATCTGGACAGCTTGGCCTGTTTCCAGTTGTTAACTCTAAAAACTACAAATGGTTGATGATCCACCAACTGAAAATTAGCCTTCATCAAAAAATAAGAAGCACCAACAGAATCAATTATGAGCCTGGGCATCTCTTATACATAATGATGGCCAATACAAATACCCCAAACCTGGCTAAAGCAATTATAATAGCTTCCACAATTTGCAACAACAGGTTTGACCAACTGTAACAGCTTAGAAGCACAGGGTATGTATTCTCCCCACTTCTGGCAAAAAATGATGGGGCACCCTAGTCTCTCCCCCCTCACTAAGTTTGAAGAGATGTACATGTATATTTTCTTGATAATGACATAAATGGCCTACATGCAAAAGATTGGACAGCTACATTCCATCTGAGATGACAATTGAGTATGTTCAGCAATACTGATTGTATGGTTTCTATTCTCTTCTTGCTAGCACTAGTACATGACTAGGACAAAAATGTCTACCGGAAGTTGAGGTAATTGATGACAGAGCACAGAAAAGATTCAATTCATTTGTGGTAATAGAGAAAGACAGTGCACCCCACTAGGCAGATCTTTTGGTATTGGAAGCGCTGTGACGTATCTCTGAGGAATACCATCATATTGCCCCCGACCAAGAAACCTAGCATACCGATTAATAACGCCGAACTTCTCTTGGTCTTGCCCATCCACTGTCACATCTAATACTGATGCTCTCTTGTCCAGTCTGATCAGAGAAGGAACAAATTAGAAAGCAAACAGAACTCATCATGCAGAATTAACATACCTTTTTCGGGTAAAAAAGGAAGCTAGTAAAGCAGACAATATTTATATAATATAATCGGAAGTGTAAAACTGAAACATCAAAAGATAAAATGAATGTCCAAGAATTAATAGCAAGTCAAATGACAGTAGACATTTAAGACTTGAGAAGTGTGGATTTCCTAATAAAAAGTCCAAGTTTATACGGAACCAACCAATAAGTACAGTAAGCACTTTGCCCTCATTTTCTAATGGAGTGGAAGATCATGGTTAAAGACCTATCATCAGCCGTATATATTTTTAGATGTGCTAAATCAGAAGCAAAAGCCATCAGTTCAAAGTAAACCCTTGAATTTCTGAAATTGTTCTTTGTAAATCTTAGATTTGCATATCCATCATTAAAATTTAGCACTACATGTAGTTTCTACATAATTAACAAATTCAGCTTTATTTAGCAACTGGTTTCAGTATACATGCGTTGCATGTGTGTATTGCGTCAACTAAAAAGATTGTATATAAGAAAAGTGAATTATGTAAAAATAGAAAATGACACTAAATAGATGCAACTTCATTAATTGAGAAAAAATGTTAAATATATTACTTAGATCAATAAAGGAGAAGAAATCATGACATACAGAACCTCCAACATATTATGCAAGCACTAATAGGACGAAATTCTAAAATAAAATATTGACAAAGAACATAAATTCGAACAACACAAACATTTGACCCCAATTTGGATCAACCTATAGCTTCTTCCTTCGCGTCTCATAAGAATGTTATAATCCAATATCAATATCAATATGCATATATATTTATATAGTCTATTGAAAAAGAGGTACATTGTGTCAAACTAAGAAAAGAATAGACAAAGGAAAATTCTTCTTTTTTTCTTTGGTCTTTCGTCAAATCATATTTCTAATTACTTATCCAATTATAATGTATCAATTGCTAATGCAGGAACAAACCACTATTAATAGGTATCTCTATGTAAGAATAAATATACAATTAGCTCAAATACATTAAACTGACAAGAGTTGACCATGCAGGGAAAGTGATTAACGAGCGGGCTACCTTAGCTTATGCGAGTCAACAATAACTCAATCTTAGGTCCAACACAATTGAAGTTGAGGTCAAGATATTCAATTTAAATTATAATTCTTTTGAACATCAATATTTTATAATGTTTTAAATGAATTTTATGTTATTAGAGAGATACTATAAAAAATATAAAATATTTAGCAATGTTTACTAATTATACAAATAGAGTAATAATAAACATTCATATTAGAAGATAACATGTTTAAGGGGTTGATATTATTGATATTTAGTGTTTATACCCAAATTAGCAGGTTATTAGAAGATGCATTCTTTAGATCTGATGTGACTTTTTAAATTGGACTCAACAAATCTTCATTTTAAACGAAAACTAAACTA